AATCATTAAAGCATAGTTTAAATAACTATATTGAAAATCATATGTATGTGTATATTTTTGTCTAAAGAATTAGATTATTATGATGATGATAGTTCATTAATATACATATACTATATTATCTACATATATACACCACTATATAAAACAACCTTATTTATGTTGGCTATAATTATAATAGATTAAATAAAATATCTTGGGAGTATATGTATGTAAAAGAGAGATCTATATATAGATTTTTCTCATTCTTATCCATCGAAGCAAATCTATGAGGATAGATAGAAGTTATGTAGCAATTTATAGAAACTTATAAACGATTTGTAAAGATTCCAATATATATATATATGTAAGTAATCAATTGAGTAAATACTAATCTTTGTATAATACAAATGTGTTTGAGAATTCTAATATACACACACACATACACATATATATAGATGAATCAAAACAAAGAAAAAGTCAATTTGTGCTGACCAACTAAATAAGAACATAATTTAAAAATCATTGGAAACTCGATTTTCATATCCATATCTAACACGTGAATGAACTATAATAATTAATTTCTCTTATAACAGAAAAAATGAAATAAATAAATCAAAATTAAGAATCTTGAAATAAATCTTTTGAATTAATGAACTCTAAGGTTTGCTATATAAAAGTTGTAATACAAGTTCAACTATATATAAAAAAAACATAAATGTTTATATAATTTAATAAATCAATCATAGATTCAATAGAATTTAAGCTCACCATGAAAGAAATTAAAAATTAAGTATTTTCTTCCATACTCATTCCAAATCCAATTATCCCCAATTTTGAAATAAATTTTTTTAAGACATAAAAATTAGGTATTCATATGATTGTTTTAAAGAGGCATAATTAATCTATCGATTTATAGATAAGTTATAGCTATATATAAAAAATATAAATATTTATATAGCGTGATAAATACAGTCGACATCTATAAATTCTATAGAATCTAAATTCACTATGAAAAAAATTAAATATTAAAAGTGTTTTCTTTCATATTCAATCCAAATTTAATTATCCCTAATTTTAAAATAAATTTTTTAAGACACAAAAATTTGATACTCATATGATTGTTATAAAGAGGCATAACTAATCTGTCGGTCTATAGATAAGTTATAACTATATATAAAAATATAAATATTTACTTAGCGTGACAAACACAATCAACATCTATAGATCCAATAGAATAGAAATTCATGATGAAAAATTAAAATTAAAAATGTTTTCTCCCATACTCAATCCAAATCCAATTATGCCCTATTTGAAATAATTTTTTAAAAGAAACAAAAATTAGGTATTCCTATAACTGTTATAAAGAGTTGTAACTAATCTATTGGTTTATAATCTTCACATAATATAGACAAAAAATCTTCGTACAATACAATGTAGAGAAGAAAAAAGGAATTACAAGGGAAAAAAACTTTACCATGTGCCATTTTTTACTGGTCAAGTTTGGTCTTGGAGATCTTTCGTTCAGTTTTTTTCTTGCTCGCTTGATTCTTATTGAAGCTCTTGTTCACTTGATTCTTATTGTGTTTCATATTTTTTTTCTTCCAATGCTAGGTTTATGAAATTTAGTTTTTCACAAATCTCACTTTATAGATTGAAAAACAACTGAAAGCTTTTAAAGAGGATTATAGCTCGATTCATATTTATGAATAAATCTTTATTAGTCTGAGTAAGTATATCTTCTCAAAATAGAGATAGAGCAATATTTATTTACTTGCTTAATATAAAATCCAAGTCTAAATTAGGAATTACAAAAAAATAAATGTGTTATACGTGGTTAAATGTTATTCGCTAAAATAATTGACCACCTAACATTTTATTGAACAAAATACATGAATACAAGGAAGGTAAGGATTTGTTTTTCTTTAAATGTAAAGTTTGCATCTATCCATGGACAAGTTCATAAAAATAATACAGCTATGAATATGTTATCAAAGAGTAGAAGTGGTCCTTCTGTCACTAGTTAAAAGGAAAAGAATAATTAAACTATCATATACACACATGTATAACATTAACACATACAATATAGGTAACAAGTTTTCTGATTTTCTATTAATTAATTTAAAATTATAAAAAAAAACCCTTATAAACTCATTTTAGTATTTAAAAAATTGACCTTTAGTGACGTTTTGTGCTGTAAAAATATTTTTGACAAACATCAAACCAATGCAACATCGTAGCTAATAAAAGTATCGACAAAAACTATACATGACTTTTTCATCTGCCATTAGTTTTAAATTTAACTCATAAAAAAGTACGTAATTGTAACTTATTATTTAACATGGCATAAGAGTTTCAAATTTTGGGTTTGAACTTCATCTTCTTTTTTTCTTGAATAGTTCTTCAATTTATATATATCTTTGTACTTTTGTCACTTACAATTGTAGTCCATAATTAGTTACATTGCATGTAAAATGTTTCTTGCATTTGACAAAACACAAAATTCATAATGGTAACTTAAGTTCTACCTTATTGAAACAACCAAAATCGTACACAATTCTTTTATCATTCACAAAGGTCTCACTTGTTTAGTCCTTGCAGCAATATTGTTTTGGTAGTTGTGTCCTTTACAACATAATAAAAAAGAAAATATTCAACAAAAACTTTATAAGAGATACATTTGAAATATGAAAATAATTTTTTTTTTCAAATAATAGATTGGATTAATTACCAAAAAACTTAAGCTGATAGAAAAAACTCAATCAATTATTTATAGTTTAATAGATATTCTCAAAAATAAGTTCGATGCATTAGTTTACCTAGAAGCGTAAATTAAAGATAAACTCTTAAATTTTATGTGAGATTAATATTTACTAAAAATAAGGTGTCATGATTTAAATATTATATTTCTAATTTTAGTACCATTTAAATAATATATTAAATTAATTATACCAAAAGTTTAAGCTAATATGAAGCAATACAATCAATTGTTTATTTATACTTTATCAGTATGACTAACGTATTTGGTATGGATAATAAAGTTGACAACATTAGTAAGTAGATGATAGGAAACGATAAAGTTTCCTAGAGAGTCATGTGCATCAACTATGCAGTATGACTTTGTTTTCGAGATAATTGTTAAGGTAACCTTGGTATTGAGAATGGTTTATAAATATTAGAAATAAGAGCCTCTATTCGAGCGTGGCTACTAAAAGCAGTGAGTATAATTTAGTGAAATGGAAGAGATTTCATAGCCATAGTTTCGTTATGTATCGATATAAATATTGTTTTAACTTGTTTATTATTATTTATTGTTCATTACCGTTACACTTACGATGGTGATGTGTGCTATTGTAATCCATACATTTAATAGTTCAAGAAATCTTATTCCTTTTATTATTATTATTATTTATTATGTCATCTATTATTTTTTTACTGACCTCTTCTAAAACACATCAATTAACAAAATCTGGTCCAACCAGAGAATCACGTGGCTAATTGCAATTGAGAAAAGATATTATCCCCACAATTAAGTGTCTTATAAATGTAGGAAAAAATTGTTATCAATAATTTTATTTTGGTAGGTGATTTGGGCCACAGTTTGTGTTTGGCGGGAAAATGGAACGACTTCCAACAAGTGTACACCAGAAGCTTCTCGCCAATAGAACCACTCAGCCATGCCGTAAACCCTAACACTCGCTAATTCCAGAATCCAAATACATCTGCATCAAATACCTTGCATCAGTTTTCTTTCTTCATCTTCGGTTTCCCGCTATTTCCTTCTATCTGCAGCCAATGACTGTGCTTAGGTCCCGCCAAGTAACTTCAACCATCCAACAACCCAAACCCAAAACCCCTCAAACATCCATCATCATTGAACCCGCCACTCCCGTTCAGACTCGAGAACCTGCTACCCAACAATCAACGCCCATTGCGGGTCCCAATGACGAATCTGTCGGTCTCGGATCTAATTCAGTCTCCCTTTCCGCTTCTGGTCCTTTTCGTAGGCGAAGCATCCGTCTCGCTTCCAAATCGGTCATCGGCGACTGTTCCAATGAACCAGATGTCTCTGAAAAGAATGACTCTAGGGTATCGGATCATGAATCAGTGAAAGGGAACAGGGTTGATGGTTTAATTGAAGAGGGGTTTAGGGTTCTAAGTGACAAGGGGACTAGCAGGAAGAGAGAGAAGAAAGTAGATGATAATTCCTCGCGTTTTGAGAGTGAAACAAAACAAGGAAACTTGATTTTACGGTCAGGAAAGAGGATTGTTAAAAGGAGAGTGGAAAATGCAAGTGATTGTAAGACAGTTTGTGAGGATGAAAAGGAAACCGGACACGAGGGAAATGGAGAATCATTGAAGGGCAGTTTAGCAGTAAATGGAAACTTGGATTTCGAATCTGAAGCTAAGAATTCTGTTAGTTATGTGAAAGAGATGCGGGAAAAAAAGGAAGGGAAGAGGATTTTGAGAGAGGTGAACAGAGAGGGTTCCGTGAACGGGAAATTGGAGAAGAGAAAAACTGTTAACGAGCAGAATGGGGACAATGGTAGGAGGTATAGCAGAGAAGAGAAAAAGAAGGGGAAAATGGTAGAACATTCTTCGCCATCAAACTGTGATGAGCAAATACAAGAAGACTATTTGTTTTCTGTAGCAGAAGAACTGGAGCACAAGTCCCGAATGGAACAGTTTCGCGATATTGCTAGGGAGAATGCTTCTCGGTTTGCTCATTACAATCCCCAGGATGACGAAACTGAAGCACCAGGCTTAGAGGTGGTTGCGGAAATCGAAGATTGGCCAGGTCCCTTCTCTACTGCCATGAAAATAATCAGGGATCGTTCTGATAAATCGAAAATTCAACAGGGTAGTTCCTCTTCAGTTGAGACGAAATCGGCGCCGGTAATATGGGTGCCTAAAAGGAGTAAAGCTGGTGATCGTTCAAAATTATTGGTTCCCTCGCTTAAGGAACTGTGCATGAAAATACTTATCAAGAATGCGGATGCAATCACTTCACTTGAATATATCCCGGATGCTATGAGGCACAAGCTCAGTCAGTTGCTTTGTGATTCTAGAAGAATGAATGCACATTTTCTTGATCTTCTTGTACGTGGTTCCCCATCAGAGATTAGGTTACGAGATTGTTCATGGTTAACAGAGGAACAATTCACTAAATGTTTTGAGGGCTGTGATACCAGTAGTTTGACGGTATGTGTTTTTGAACTAGGCAATCCTTAGTTTAACTTGAATTCCACTAATCTTATATACTCCTTTTGCTTGTGATCACTGGTACAATCAAATGAATCTAAAATAATGACGGTCTGATTTAGACATAAAGTGTTTAGCTGATAAACGTAACTAGACGATTCTTTATTCTTCCTAAAAGAAATTCTTGTGTCATCTGAGCTTTGATTTTTTATGAACTTAGTGGAGACTAAGCAGTTCTGGATTATCTTTTTAACTCATGATGGCTTGCAATGCCTTGCCTATACTTGTCAAAATTATCCAGGATAATCTTTTAGAAAAATTTAATATTGGTGAAATTATTGGTATATTCGTCTTAAAAATTATAAAATTGTGACTTGTGTTTTCTCTGTGCCTGGATTATCTTGTGTTAAGCTGCCACTGCTGTTTAGGGTAACGTGGAACTGATAAATTTGCACATGGACTTACCAGTTTCCTTCCTTTATAGTCTCTCCCTCCATCATAATGTCCTTATCTCACTTCATGTCTCACTCTGATGGCTGCAATTTCTATTTTTTTTCAAGACCTTAATGATTGAGAAAATCTTGATATGATGCCTTTTGTCACCTCTTCGCTTAACCTTCTTGAACCTGACCATTTTACTGCCGTGGCCTTTGCTAGTTTTTCTTTTGGAATGTGAAACTCCCCATAAGGTTACCGATTTCATTTAGACTGTTGCAAACCAGGTTAACCATGTGATCATGCATTATCTTTGAATATTTGTGATAACTTTTTTAAAATGTGTCCACACTCAGTTGTTCCTTCATTGCAATATAGCTTGGGAGTCTTAGCCCCCGCGTCTTTTTCCTTAGAAGCCTTCAATACCTCTTCTCTCTGCGGGTTTAATAGGAACAGAGAACAATAATATGTTACTGAAGGGGGCTATTTTTATGGTTTGTAGCCATTTGGCAGGAAAGAATGCCAGAATTTTAAAGGTGGTTTTCAATCTCCCAACTTGCTTTAGGACAGATTGACTTAGTCCTTCACTGTGTTTAAGGTCTATGATTTATCTTGCAATATCTCTTATATCTTTAGCTGTTTACTAAAGCTATTGGGCAGCTAACTTGTTCTTAGGTCTGTTTTTGCTTTCTGCTTGGCTGTCGTATGAGGATATCTTACACTCCTACTATGTACTATCTATTTCTTTCATTCTAACATATTCTTCTTTTATACAAAAATAAAAAATCTTTTATATGGAGTATGGACTATTTGCTGATTTGTCCACTATATCTTTTTATTCTGGGTAATCTAACTCTAATGTTTGTGAAATCAGGTTCTGCAACTTGATCAGTGTGGACGTTGCTTGCCAGATTATGTCTTACGTTCTACCTTAGGCAGGTCATCAAATTACTTGCCTGCACTAACTACTTTATCCTTAAGTGCAGCATGCCGGCTTTCGGATGTTGGGTTACGGATACTTGTTTCTTCTACTCCTGCTCTAAGATCTATAAATCTCAGCCAATGCTCCCTTCTAACGCCAGCTGGGTTTGACATTTTAGCTGGCTCATTGGGATCAGTTCTGAGGGAACTTTATATTAATGATTGCCAAAGCATTGACGCCATGCTTATTTTGCCGGCTCTGAAGAGGCTAGAACACTTGGAAGTGTTGTCTCTAGTTGGAATGCTAAGTGTCAATGATATTTTTCTTAGGCAACTTATCATTGCACGGGGTCGTAATATGAAAGAACTGATTTTGGGTGACTGTGTGTAAGTTTCTGAAAATTTCTTTGGTCTTGAATCACATTTGGCAATTTTGATGTTTGACATTTAAATTCTGATGCAGGAAATTAACTGATTTATCTGTGAAAATCATCGCTGAAAGTTGTCCTCGCTTATGTGCACTTGATCTTGTTAATTTATGCAAACTGACAGATTGCGCTTTGGGTTATCTTGCGAATAGTTGTCAAGCACTGCAAACGTTAAAACTCAGCCGCAATTCTTTCAGGTTTTTACCAACTCCTATATGCCAGTTGAATTTAAATATTGATTCTTTTAATCTTTTTTTTTAAAATCATTTTTTTTAAAATAAAACTTAACTATTGATTATTTTATTGTCCACTTATACGTGGTATTCCTTATATTTTGCTTCGTGCTTCACATGTTTATATGTAGTTCTGCAATATTCTTATGAGATTTCCACTTTTTCTCATCAGCATATTTATATTTGGATCATAAGAAAATTCATATTTTTCTATCTTATACTTGCGTTGGAAGCTTATGTTGCTATCAGCAGTCACGATCTGAGTTGAATCCATATACTCCATACGTGTTTGCTTATGTTTGTATTTATGTGTTTGGATTTATGAACTTGATGTTGCTATGGGTATTTAATTTGTGAAGGGATGAGTGTGCTTATGTTTGTCTTGTGTGCCACTATGTTTGTATATGCTACTTGCATTCAGTTCAGAAACTCTTTTTATTTGCTTTTGTTTGTATTTTCTGCATGCTCAGTTGCTTGCTGTATGTAGTATAAAACTGAATTGCATTCTTTCTTATTTCTGTGTGGCAGTGATGATGCTGTGGCAGCATATCTGGAGACCTCTGGGCAGTTTCTAAAAGAATTGTCTCTAAATAATGTCAAGAAGGTCCTTTCATTGATCAATCTCCCTCATAAATTCTTGATGCCTATTTAGGACTCCTTTCAAAAGTCTCCTCTGGATTTCAAGAAGAAATAAGTTACTTTCACTATCTGACATGAAATTCCTGCATCCTCAGTTCTCTCTCTCTCTCTCTCTCTCTCTCTCTCTCTCTCCTCTCTATCAGTTGCCAATCCATGGGCAACCATTAGTTTAGTTTTTTATTTTCAATATTACCTGTTCTGATGGGTTCTTGAAAACTGGCTTATTTAACTACTGCATCTTCGTCTTTGTTCAGGTTGGCCAGAGCACTGCCTTTTCTCTTGCTAGATCTTTAAGGGACCTGCATAGCCTAGATCTTTCTTGGTGCCGGAATTTGACAAATGAGGCTGTGGGTTTGATTGTTGATAGCTGTTTATCTTTGAGGTTGCTTAAGCTCTTTGGATGCACTCAGGTAATGCCTTGTTAGAATCATTTGATATTTCAAGGGGACCCCTCTGCAGACTCTTGGTTACAAGGAAACAATATTATGTCTTTAATGTTATGCAGCCTATATTCTTTTTGTTTGCAGATTACAGATGTATTGGTGAATGGCCACTCAAATCCAGATGTCCAGATCATTGGTTTGAAGATGTCTCCAGTCCTGGAACATCTCAAGTTACCTGATTCTCAGGAAGCGCCCTTGTACTATTCTTCCCTTTGATAAGATCTGTACAGGGATTACTGAGTTATGGACATTAAAATCTAGTTACCTTGTTAAGTAGGAAAATTGTGGAGTGCTGCCATTTTTACAGGAAATGTCACTGATTCAGAATGCTTATTCTAGATGCACTCTGCCTGATATTTACATTAGTTGCACAACGTTAAACTGTAGATTCTAGATTGTATCCATTACAAATTCTGATTTTGGGTACTCAATTAATTTTAATTTTAAAATTATTTGGCTAAATTGATTATTATTTCCTGTTAATTTTGTGATAAAAAATTCTATTAAAATTGAGGTATAGAATTAAATATTTAATTAAAATTAAACATGTAGAATTAATTAAAAGAGTATAATTAAAGAAATTGAAACCAAAAAGTAAAAGGATTATAAGAAAGCAAATAATTATAAAAACCAATTATAATATTGATGTTAAATAAGAAAATAACTATTAAAAGAAAAAAAAAATTTAGAATTTATATGAGTTGTTTTTTAATTTACTGAATTTATATAATTTTGTACCTTTTTAGTTAGAAACATACAAATAAAATTTCGGAATTTTTTAATTATTTCTAAATATAAAACATTTTACTGCATAAAGAGAGAAATAGATTGAACTCATGGGCAATCAATCCAATTGAACAGAAGCAAGGAACCGCAGAGGCCCATTACAATGTCTATGAAATCTAAATCTAAATCTGTTCTCATTAACTCCTATTCATCATCAATCTTACTAAATTCATACATACACATATTCCTACATACATACATACGCATATATATATATATATGCATGTATTAAACAACCTGCTGTTCATGAAGGCGGAGCACGATTCAGAACGTGGAAGATGAATCTCGAAGTATAATTATCCCAGTAAAGTCCAATCTCATCTCCTTCCCGCAGCTCCCTTCTCCTGACAAAATCTTTGCCCCATTTACCAATGAAAATATAGCTCTTTGACGATACCCAATGCTTGAATACCAGTTCATGTTCAGTCATGGTGTCTTGATCCAACACATTGACTTTGGCACCCTCCGTGCTCTCCACCTTCGTTACTATCTCTTCGCTCAACAATGACAACACGTGGTTCTTGATCAGGCTTGTCTTCACCAACAGTCTACACAGGTCGCCCAGATCACTACGAGTGAGATTCTTCTTTATCTTCCATGGATCGGTGTAAAGACTCAGTTTGGTGCAGACCCCTTTCTCTGTTTCTTTCTTTTCCTCCTCTATGGTGTAATGTTTCATGGCTGAAATCTTGGAAAGTATCGTGGAGAAATCATACTGTGGGCAAGATTTTTTGGACGAGTCTTCTTGAACGGAGTCTTTGATTATCGAAGACCAAGATTCATCGAACAGAACCAGTGTTGTTGAAATCTTCAGGTCCGATGATGAGACTGACTGGTTCTGTTTTGTTGATGATGGGTTTTCACTTCCTTTCTGTTTCTTGGTGTCACGATGAAAATCACTCAGAAAATCCAACTCTGCGGAAACACAACTCCCATCTCCTTGCTCCGAGTTACTGCCGCTAATGGCATCAGGAGATGGCTTTCGTTTGACGGCAAGTGGAGGAGAAGATTGTGGTTGACGATCTTTGTACGGCGACATCAGGAGTTCCTTGGTTCAGGGTTTTTATAGGGTTTAGAGAATGAGGAGATGAGAAAGGTTTTTGTGGGTATATGGGGTGGAAAGAATGAGGAGATGAGAAAGGGTTTTGTGGGTATATGGACTGGAAACAATGGGGAGATAAGAAAGGTTTTTGTGGGTTTATAGAGAAGAAAGAAGACTGAGAGACGTTATAAGAATAAGAAGAAGAAGAAGAAGAAGAAGAGAGGATGAAGCAATTTATATAGGAACAGGGGAATGGGAGTTGTATTAGAATTCGGAAAATCTCATTACAAGTTTTCCTGATTGGATGAGTTTCTTGTTTTTCATTCTTTTAACGCAAGAAAATAATTTTTCTTGATTTTAAGGATGTAAGGTTGGAGGGTTTAAGCAGAAAACAAATAAGCAGCTTCTGGGTATTTAAGGTCCATAATGGCTACCGTTGCAGTTTCCCTCTTAGGAGATATTTTCCAAGGCGGGGGAAGAAGAAAGTAAATTCTCCAACAAAAACGGTGTCGTTGAAGGAGCGGGCTTCGGGTTTGGAGAGGATTTGGGCTAATTAAAAAGGCAGATTTTCTAGGATTTTGGGTTTGATTTTTATTTCTAAGCCGAATCAAATTCAAAATTTGCCTTAAAAAAAATTCAACAATTAAAAAAGAAAATATTATTTGTAAATTAAAAAATAATTCCATAATTCTTTTTTTTTTTAAATCATTTTTAATATATTTATACTCAGTTTTTAACATTTTCAAATTTTCTTTAAATTCTCTAAATAGTTTTTCTTTTTTGTTTTTATATAAAAATTAAAAAAATAGATTATATTAAATAGTGGAAAAGAGTTAAAACTTCCATATGACAAGAAGAAGCCATGCTTTGTCTGTGAAATTTACAAGTCAATGTACAACAACATAATTGTTGTTAAATGATATATAGATATTGATTGTAACATAATAAAATATAATTTTTAAAAGAAAATATACAAAAACAGTAATTTTAATTTAAACCTATGAATTTCTGTAAAAAAAAAAAATACATATATATTAATTATTGAGTTAAATAGTTGATAAAATTAATCTTTTTTATTTTTCTTTTTTTACAAATAAGTAATTAAATTTATTTTTTTTAAAAAAAAACATAAATAAAAATTAAAATACTATATAATTTATCAGTTGTTAATTAACTGAATGATTTAATATATTCATTTATTTATAAAAAAATTATATTCAACTCCAGTTGTGCTCTCGATTTATATTTTATTATAATCAATACTTCTGTATTATTTAATAAATAAAATATTATATATTTTAAACATACAACTATCATTTCAACTATATACTTTTTAGAATTAGAGTTGAGTAACACACAGTTTTTAAATTGTTGAAATCACCTTCCTCAAACTTTTGTAATTTTAGTTTTTTCTGCTTCATTCTTTTTATTTTTGTCTTTAGAATTTCAACAATTATAAATCTCTTTCAATTTTTTATTTCTCAAATTTTCTTTTTCTTTTTTTATTTTGTCATTTCTTTTTTTTTTATTTTTTTTTATTTTTCTATTTTCAGAATAAAATATGACTGTTTTGAAATATTTATTTTTTTAAAAAAAATGATTGTTTTCAAATATTTATTTCATATTTTGTCAATTCTTTGTATATTTTATTCTCAAATTATTTTCATTTTTCTTATTTAATAGAATATTTTCGAGATAATAATATAGTTAGTTATTTATTTTTTATCAATTTTTTTTTCTTTATTTAGTTTCTTAGTCGCTTTTAGAACAATAGTACATTATTGTAGTTACTTTCTTATTTGTGAATAATAGAATTAGTAATAAAAATAAATTGCTATTAATTTAGTTAATCAGTCAAAATAACTTTTTTGAACTATTTTTTAAAACATTAATATATAATTTAATTATTTTAACTTTTTGCTGGGGATATAATTATTATGAGCAAGATCCAATTATTCGTGTAATACATTAAATGTATTTTTATTATCATATTTATTATTTTATTATTTAATTTATATGATAAATTTTTTTATTAAATTTAAAAATTTTACATCAAGGTGAAGATCTTGATAATAAGAGTAAAGTTTTTTATAATTTAATATAAAATATTCTTAGTCGTTCGATCATCAAAATAGGATATTAATGACTCAATAATACCAATATATATGTAATAATCTCTATAAGATAAAAATTAGTTGATCTTATTAACTAAATCATATATATAGATGGTGCATATGGAGACCTGATTATTGGAATGACTGAACTGAGAATTGTTAATGGTTAATATTACTTAAATTGTCAATATAATATTCTCTTAAAATAATGAAATGTAAGATTTTTCTTTGACATGAGACCATCATAGTAATTAATAAGTCATTTATCATATTTTGATTTTAAACACTTATAATAATAAAACTATAGTTAAAAGGATATTAAACGTGATTAAATACTTGTAAAATTAGTGATTGATCAAAACGGAATCTATCAACTTTAGTGATAAATTTAAACTTTATGTTTCGTTTATTATAATGACTATATTAGGACATTGATCAAGACAATTAAATGAAAGAAAAAAAAGTTTCTTATATCATTTACTAATCAATTATATTTGATATGAAACATAATTGGTTACCTATTTGGATTTAACAATTAAACCATATCCTATGGTTAACCAAAGCATAGTTGGTTAAGGAGTGTTGGTAAATACTAATCTAGATTAGTAAATTAGTTTGACCAATTTGCTACTACTTTAGTATTAAACCTATGAGATTGCATACTAATAATAAAAGGCAACATTTATACCAGAGACCCAGCGGTTTGTATGGTCAGACATTTGAAATCTATATTGACCACAAAAGTTTAAAATATATATTTTCGCAAAAAGAATTGAACATAAGATAGAGATGTTGGATGGACCTCTTCAAGAACTACAACTGCAAGATCATCTACCGCCCCAGTAGAGCTAATATAGTCGCAGATACTCTGAGTCAGAAGGAGTATGCTTTGTTGGCCCAAACCATGGCTTTCAGTTAGAAATTAATTAATGCTATGCAGGTACTCCATCTTAACCACCATGGCAATGGTGCTTATCACACCCAGATTTAAGCTTTGCTTGATCTTTTCATGAAGATTTAGGAAGCTCAATCCACCGACCCAGAAATCACCAAAAATTTGAGTAAGTTTACTTCTGACGAGTTTCCTGATTTTAGGCTCACAGATGATGGATTGTGCAGATTTCGAGATCGTATTTAGGTCCCTGTCGTTGTGAGAATGGATGTTCTCAAGGTTTTCCATGCCTCCAAACTATCCATCCACTCTGAGAGTACTAAGATGTATCGGGACTTGAACCATTAATATTGATAGCTGGGAATAAAGAAGAACATTGTCGACTATGTCTCTTGATGCCTTTCTTACTAACGAGTTAAGATAGAATACTAGAGACCCAACAGTTTATTGTAAGGCCTCCTTATTCCGGAATGGAAGTGGGAGCATGTGACTATGGACTTTGTCACCAGTATACCTAGGACTTGCTATAATCGTAATGCAATATGGGTCATTATTGAGAGATTGACCAAAATCACCCATTTTCTACCAATCAGAACTATAGATTCCACTAGCAGATTAGCCCACTTGTAAATCAATGAGATTGTTCGGCTCTACGACATCCCTTCATCCATTATGTTAGACCAAGATGCTTTGTTCACCTCCTATTTCTGGGATAGCTTTCAAGAAGCACTTGGTTTGGGATTGTACTTCAGCACTAGCTATCATTCATAAATTGATAACTGATCTTAACGTACTATCTAGATAATTAAAGACATGTTGCACACTTGTGTCCTCGACTTTGGTGATAACTAGTATAAGTATCTTCCTCTATATGAATTTGTTTATTATAACAGTTATCATTTCAGTATCAGCATGAATCTGTATGAAGCCTTGTAGGGTAGGCCTTGCTATTCTCCCTTTTGTTGGAAGAAAATCGGGAACCCACGTCATTTGGAACCTAATTTCATCTAAGAGACTATCAAAAAAGTTGCTATCATTCGAAGGAACTTAGCCACCGTCTAGAGTCACCAGAAAAGCTATACTAACAACCACAGAAGTCACTTGAAATTTGTAGTTGGCGATCAAGTCTTCCTTAAAATCTTCCCTTAGAAGGGAAAAATGCGGTTCGGGAAGAAATGAAAGCTGACCTCACCCCCTCTCCCCTCCCCCCTTTATGTGAGACATTTTCATATCGTGGAACGTGTTGGACTCGTGGCATATCGCCTTACTCTACCCCAAGAGCTTGCGGGTCTATATAATGTTTTCCATGTCTCCATGCTCAAAAGAGACCACCTTAACCCTTCTCACATCATTCCTCATCAAGAGATTCAGGTTCAAGCTGATATGACATACGAGGAGTTCCTTGCGAAAATCTTTGATTGGACTAACAAGGTTTTGTCTAATAAGAGGATTCCTATGGTGAAGGTGCAGTGGCAACACTACACTCTGGAAGAGGCGACGTGGGAATTGGAGAGCGAGATGCAAGAGAAGTTCTCATACATATTCATGATAAATTTAGGGGACCAAACTTTCTAAGATAGGGGAAATAGAACACCCCAAAAACCTTAGTGTTTAATTTATAAAGTGAACTCCTATTTATTCGGGCCCTAAGACCGTTTAAACTCTTTAATATTTCATATTTTAAATTTTCATATGGAAATCGCATTCCGTATTTATTTAGTTTAATGATTATTGAAATTATTTATTTTAATTATTTTGT